ATAATTCATTCATTATTATTTTCTGGCATTTTGTTTAAGTACATACACATGCAAGGTTAAAGATCCTTCCATTCAATGCTACATTTCTGTTACCTTGAATTAATTCTATAAATTTTTTATTGCTGTGACTCCTACGCTTGCGCAATGGAGATTTCGATAAAATTTATGTCAAAAGAAAATTATAAAATATTTTGAAACAATTTTTGTTTATTTAAATTTTTTTTTGTAATAAAAACTACTTAACTTTATTATGTTTTATAAAATTTATTAAAATTATTTAAAAAATAAATTTAAATATCAAAATATGCATCGCCTCCACCATGCTTACTGATTTCTAAAAGTTTACAATATTTTTGCTTAGTTTTTTTCCCGCTACCTTTTAAACAAGTTTGTTTAGAAAATACTTTGCCACTTATCATTGAGCAGCGCTAAAAAAAAAAAAAAAAAAAAAAAACTATTACACATTTATCCTTGTCACAGAGCACCTCACAGCACCATATTTGTGTTTACACTTGGGTGATGGGTGACGTGTGCTCAGCTCTATATGTGCACTTACATATATGTATGTATATCTCAATAGCTTTCAGGAAGTGCCTTTAAGTACACATACTCCTTCTTTTTCAACGCGAAATTCACCATTATTATATGTATGTAATAAATATAACACTAAATGGATACATACACTTTTATCAGAACGTGTAATCATATTTCTCATTACAATTTCGTGTTATTTGTAGGAATATTTTTATGTACATACATGTGTGTATACTATGGAAGCTTGTAGGTTGTGCAGAAATTTCGGTATGTACACTTGTAGAGTGCTATTTATTTAGCTGATTACAGCGGCTATTGCAGACCACTTGGGTTTTTAGTTGTACGAAATTCTTGCAGCTGCTCTTTGCTCAGAAATTCTGCACAAAAAAAAATGTGCTCTCTAGCAGGCGCTGGGTTATGCGCAGGCGCTATGCTAATCCCCAACTCTGTTATTGTCTGCAATTACATATGTATATACATATATGTTTCTGCAAAAATTGTCTGGTTGGACAGTGGGCTTTTCATATATTTTCGAATATGAAAATGTCGAAATTCCCACATTTTGGTTTATAATTTATTTTATTTATATATTTTAGTATTTTCTTTAATTAAATATTAAAATTTTTTTTGTATTTTATTTTATTTTTTGTGTGCATATTATTTATATTTTTATTTTTTATTGATATTTTTAATTATCTCTTTTCTTTGCCTACATTTTTATTTCTTATTTTTATAGATCGAATAAATTGTAAAATATTTTTTTTTTTTTTGATTTTTATTCTATTTGTTAGCGTTTAGTTAAAGATTCTTGTTTTTGTATGTTATTTTATTTTTTAATTGTACTTTTTTCGTAACTTATTTTGATATCTTAAACATTTTGATTTTTTGTTTGTTACTTTAAAATTTTTAATTTTATTTTTTTGGTATTTTATTTTATTTAAACTATTTATTTTTTATTTTTCCGATATCTTCTAACAGTTATTGTTAAGTTTGTTTATCCTCTGTTTTTCTTTCTTAATAAAAATATTTTTTTGTAACATTTCAATCATCTCTTGGCAAATACATTATAATATATTTTTTGTTTATATTTATTAACAATTTATTTAGCGTTCGCTTCTATTTTCTAAAAAATATCATAGATCCACAATATTATATATATCACATTTATTTCAATTTTGTGATTTTCGGTTTTCAAAATAAGGCAATTTTTCTCAACACAAACTTTAAATGCTAACTGAATACAACAATTCTGTCTCATAAGAAATTAAATTATTATTTTATTTCTTAAGTTCATAAAACTCTTATAGATTAACTTTCAAATAATTTTTCTCTAAATAATATTTTAGTTTGAATTTCCCTTCAGAGCGCAAATTTTCCCATATTGCACCCCATATACAACATAAATTTAATTTAAAAGTAAAGGCAAATGTTTTATTGCTGCTACCAAAATGCCCGGGGAGCTCAACATAAAGTTAGTTATGTGATCTCGCTGAGCGACCAAGCCAACAAGCCACAAAGCGCTGTGGCAAATATCTCTGCAAAGTATGCAAAAATACGAGTACAGTAATGATTTAGCAGCAAAGAAGCATTCCTTTTCGCTGCAAAAAAGCATAGGTCTAGGGAACACCGTTAATGATGAAACATACAACGCACCGCCAACAGCACCCACACTTTTAAAAACTAACAAAAAAATTGAAACTACGAACAACGACGGTAATCAATGAAGCTGAGCGTTTATGCAGTATGTTAAGCTCGCCTACTAATACAGTTGCTATCAAATAAGCGCTAACAAACGCAAAACTACTCGCCAACACCACACTCTCTACGACAGCGCAAACTGACCTGACCCGGTCGGCTAGTTGGCTATATTGATGAGCTACTACTGCTAAACGCTGAATAGATTGTCTCATCAATACTTACAACAATGCTGCCAGCAAAAATTTGCCGTTTATACTATTTATGTATTGTTTTAACATTTTCAGTGGCGAGCATTTGCATTTGCAAATGCCAAGTCAAGCGAGTAGCGTGCAAATATAATTTTTATATGTACACCCTTTACGCTGCACCCCTCCCTCTGCTCATTAAACTGTGTGTGTGTGCGCAAAAGCGTCAAATCGAGATTATTTGGTCGCCGTCTCATGGTCGTCAGTGGCTCTATGGCATACAGTTGTTGTTTGCCTCAGTGTGTTCCTCAATGAAAATACTTTTTGAACGAGCAGCCATTTTGGCTGCACAAATTCACCAAACAAGCGAATGAGATGAGTAAAACAACAGCGAGAGTACCGTTGTCATTGCAATATAACGGAGAGGTGGCGAATTGAAGTGCAAAATAAAAAAAAAAAAATTAAAAAATAAAAACACATACAAAGCCATGAGAAAAAGCAGAAAACTTTGTAGCAGCGAGCAGAAATGTGGCAGCACTGCAAAGCGTATTCTACTTTGGCCACCACTACGACTCTCAACCTCTACATAGTACGCTGAGAAGCTACGCTCGTCGCTCGGCCTGTCAATATACACTTTGGCTTCATACTATCCACCAACAAACCAACAACCAAAAATACACAAATTTATTAATATTAGCAGCAAAGTATTGCAAATAATATAAAATAAAATATATAAAAATTACCAAAAAATATATAAACGAGAATTTTTATTTAATTTATACAACAAATAACCAAACAAACGCGCTTTTTCCCTCGTATACGCAAAATAAGCAGCGAGAACACGATTTAAATCAATAAGAAAATTTACGCAAAACTTCAGGAAGTAAAAAAATAAAAAATTACGAAATAAATATCTGCGGTAAATGTGTAAAATAAAAGCAGAGTATATAAGCACGGCATTGAAAGTAAGCCAAAAATTAAATAAAAAAAAGAATAGATAAAAATAAAATTTGTGCTAAAGTATCGAGAAATTTTTAGTAGTGGCTGCGTAAAAGAAAAAAAAAAACACCAAACGAATATTCATTAAAGCAATAAAATTTTCAAAAACGTAAAAGCGCAGCAAATACGCACGAAAAAGAAGCGAAAAAAACGACGAACAAGTTGGTAACAAAAGATAATAAAAAAGCGTTTGCGAAGTAAAAATTCAGAGTACAAAAAAAGTTATTGAAATAAATATAGCAAATATTTTGTTGCTAAGCGAAAGCGATAAATGTAAAAATTGTAAGTGTTCAAGAGGTGCAATAAAAAGGTAAATTTCGAGAAAAAAAAATTATTTTACACAAAAAAAAATTATCAAAGAGTATTGAGAAATAAAAAAAGAACAAGAAGCAATAATATACGCGGTGAATGCTGGATATATAAAATAACGATAAGGTAAAATAACAGTGTAGTAGTAGATGTCGATAAGGGTGGAATTTCGAATTTAAATAAGCGTAAAAGCAAAAAAAAATATTAAAAGTAATAAAAAAGGATTGGAAACAAAATTCCAGGGCACAGAAAAGGCTTTAACAACATTATTAATCAAAATTAAAATTAAATTAAATAAAAAAAGCATTAACTAACAGAGTGAGTTCTTAAAAATATAAATAAAAAATAAAGGAGAGTATAAAAGAAAGGTATAATATAATAAAAAAAGACATCACTACGCACAATTAATGACCGTTAAAAGTGTGCTTGATCAAAATAAAATCAATTAAAAAAAATTTATTTTTATATAAAAATTCTAAATTCACACGAAGGCAATCAAAGGAAAAGTAACAACTGTATTGTAACACCCACCAACAAAACCAAACCAAGAGCTAAGAAAGAGAAACTACACTACCAAAATATAACTAGCTATTCTAGAACGTTTGTCGGTTGACGCCTGTCGCCTTTTGAAGTACGCACAAGTGTATCATGCAAGTAAGCGCCTACTAACTAGCTAACTCTTCGTCAACTTCCCGCACAACAACAACAACACCACCGCCACCACCATCATCACCACTACTACGCCAACTTGAGTTATTATATTTGCCTATGTTGGTGTCATCGTAGCTGCGTGCCAGCTTGTCTAAACGTATGTTACACTCGTTGTCAGCTTGCCGCCTTGCTTGGGTGCATACATATTTCTTGCGCTACAACTAAACCGCCGAACGCAAATATTCACTCACCTCTCCCACCAACACAAAATATAACCGCCCTAAGCGTTCAACCAATCAAGCCACCAAACCACCATTTAGTGCCTCCTACAACAAAAACAAACAAAAAAAACACCGTGGTTAACTCGAAAGTGATTGACAGACAGTCGTCGTCCTACGCGCACATTAGCTGTCGTAGCGCAAGGCGCTTGTATTTTCGAAATACCAAGCTTGTTTTACTACCATCAGCTTAATATATTTTTGCTACTCTTCTACGCTGAAGAATTTAATTTTTTTTCGTTCGTCGATAGAACCGTTGAGACAAAACTGTAATCTTATTGAAATTCCACATTAATTCTCTCGTCAGCTCTTGCTTCTTCTGCTGTTTTCTCTACCGACAAAAACAAAGCAAACAACATTTATGGAAAACAAAAGCAACCTAGAAATCGCATTCAATAACGGGAATATTTTTATTAAAAGGTAAAACAAAAAATTATAGTAAAATTTTTGGTTATACGCAATTATTTATTCTTTCCGAATTAAAATGAAAAGTACATTGGAACTAAAGGATTTTATTTTTAAAATATTAAAAATATTCTTTCTCCCTTAAGTCCTTCCTTAACATCTGATCTTTAGTTCTTTATTGTACAGTTAGTAACTATAGGTGCCAAATCACACCGTTGCATAGTTTCAGGCGAATTACCATAGTAAGCTTTATAGGGGTAAAGATAATGGATTTTTTTTTTTCATTTTACCTACAAATATATAACAAACAATTTCTTTTACGAATCCTTAGAATATATGAAGAATTTATTGAATTTATTGAAAATTGTATGTTAATAATTTGGTTTAAATATCTTTTATATAAATATTTTATTGTAATACATAAAATTTTGAGAGCTTTTAAATCTAGGCTTATGTATTTCGAAAGTAAAGTTTTCTATGTGCTCAAATGTGCTTCCTGGAGGAGCGGATGCTTATGGGTTTGCTTCCTGGCCAGGCATCTCCGTTTGTTGAAAAAAGTTCAAGAGAGACACATAACCTTAAATGAAATGATGAGTTCGTAGGGAAATCGTTTCGGCTGTTATGAACTCTGCATATATAAAGATAGTAGGCGCTATCGTATACACTCCAACTAGGATAAAAAATACACGCAAATTAGCACTGATAAAAGTATAAAATATTCTATGAATTCTTTCTGCTAAAGGGTCTAATCAATGGCTATTGACTTTCGGTATTGAGCTATGCTGTTTCTAATTTCCATTGTAGTTGTCTTCCAGGATATCGCGAGAAATGTAACTTTTTCCATTTGGTTATTTAAAAGTGCTCTGAAAATCTGTTCGTGTGTGGCACAAGTTCTCACACATTTCATTTTCAGTTATTAATAACTGCTTCCTCAATAAAAGTTTTTGTTTGTCACGCATCTCTACATCCTTTCATTCGATGAAAAAAAATCCCACGCACAAAATGTAAATTAAGTCAGCACAAACAATAAGCCACGTAAAAGAGAACGTCATAATAACTTAACCTCAGGCAATTGCCAAAAATAGTTTCTACTCCACCAAACTTTTGTGAAAATATAAAATAATTCTGACACAAATAAGTGTGGATTGTGAAGACGTAATGGAAAATAAAAGAAGCGACGACTTTTGTTACGCAAATTTTGCGTTGCCAATAAAAATAAAAGGTTAAAAAATTTTAAAGAAAGAAAAAAACATGCAAGAAATGTGAAAAAAATTGTATTTCTCACTCGAACATGGTTTGACTATAAAAGTGTACATAAAAATCACAAAATATAAACGCCACTGCGTATGAGCAACATTTTTTTACTACTAAATTAAAATACAAACAAAAAAACTAACTAAAATAAATGCGCATATTTTGCAAATAGCTATGCGTGCAAAGCACAAGAATTAAATAGTATTTTAAGTTTCTTAAAAGTTCTGTCATCTATCTCAACCATTACATATGTATCCATAACAACTTATTACAAGTTTTTCTTATACTTGACGCCCTCATTATATACCACTCCCCCAGTACACTCTTTACGCAACCGCCATTACACGTAGGAGTATTATTTACACACATTTCGTGTATGAAAACACTTACACTTTGTCTACTACTTGCTCACTGAACGTTTTCCTCACGCTCAATCGTAGTAAAACCAAACATACATAAGTGCATACTTTAGTAAGTTGTTTCTTCTAAATAGTTGGCTTTTAAATCTCAAACTCTTTAAAAGTTTCTAAGCTCTGTGTATACGTGCTTGCTGACAGCTTTCATCTTCTTCTTCTTTCGCTTTTGTTTTACTAATTTTTTTTTTACTCCTTTGATACGTGTACTTTTAGCATAAATTGTGTACAGAAATCCCCACTGCGCCATTTAAAAATTGCAGGCAACATTTTAACGGTTAGCAAGTATACTCCCACAGGCAGCCAGCGCCTTCTTCTCCCCCCACTCCTTGTGGTTAGGGTAAATATTTAGCTACGTGTGCTCTGTGTTAATCCACTGGCTGTGGAATACAGTCGGCTGTTGCTTATAAAGAAAAAATTCTCAACTTTTAAGAAAAAGAGTGATGTACTTTTAAGAAGATTCATAATTTTTTCAATATACTTGCAATATTACTTATTAGTGTTGTTACCCAGTGACCCAACTCTTAAGTAGTGCTAACAGTTTATGGGCTTTGTAGTTTGTTTGTCTTGATTTCTTTTAATATTCTACAACTCTTAGTTTTTTCTATATTTTAATTATGGCTTTGCAATCATCGCAATTGTAAAATGTTTAACTACTAACTGAATAGCATGATATCATCTCCACTGTGAGCAATGCTGGTATCAGTTAGAAGTGTAGATTTTTATATATATTTTTTTTTATAGGTAATCTTTTATTAGCTTGTCGCTTAAAAAGTTTTTGTTGCTTTTCATCATTGCGAGGCTCATTTCGTTTCAGATTTTACAATGCAAAAATTCGATTTAAGCGCTTATTTAATATCAGCTCAGTAAAATTGATGAGCACCCTATGGAAATGGGTGCTCATAAATGAGGGGTAGTGATGAATAATATTTATTCGTGAGTCTTTACCGTCAAACACAAATTATATGTTCTTAATGTCATCCAAATTAAAGAGAAGTTTTTGAATAATTTAACTCTTTATTATTACCCATATCCGTAGAAAATGTGCACTAGTACTTCTACTTGAAGGATTTCTGAGATTCAAACAATATAGTCCCAACATTTTCCTTCGCATTTTCAATTAGTGGCCCTCATGGCGGCATTTATCACACAGCCGATATAAAGGCTCTTTTCTGCGTAACTAAAAAAAAACTGCTTATTTACATAAACTTTAAGTTTAATTTATTTTTCTTTTAAACATTACGAACTATACTTTTAGCCATGATTTGAGCCCTCGATTATAATAAGTAAAATGGCTGAGTTAAATGTAAATTTTATTGAATTCAGAGTAGAGTTAGACAAGTTATTAATGTTAATAAGTTAATAATGCTCGCTCCCCAAAAAGTTTTGAATGTGAATGCTCCCTACTCCGCAGAAAGAAAATAGTTTACGTTGGAGCGTTATTATATGTCCGGATCGTGAAATTAGGAGTGGAAATAAAAAAAATTATTTTTCACTGTTAATGGCGACATTTTTCAGATCTTTTTATTAAATATATTTATACCATCACAAGAATATGTTTTCCCTTATTTTCGATATACGCCGAAGCTGCCTCCATGACTTCACAATTGATGATAAATTATTTTACTACTCAGTTATTTTTACTTCTTTAGAAAGAGATAGAAATCACTCGGGGTCATGTCTGGGCTGTATCAAGGCCAACATAACGAGGGGTCATGTCTGGGCTATAGGAAGGCCAACTCAACGAGGCTTGTGTGGACGGTGGTTTTTACGTAGGCATAAGTAGTCTCAGCAACCATCTTTTCGTGGCCTTAGTCATTACAATGTGATCGTACAGGATTTTAAAAATAGTTGTATGAGATACTCCCAGCATTTCTGTGGATATATTCTACTTTAGTCAATCATCGTCGAGGAATATTTGTTCAACTTTTTGAATCAGTCCTTATATGATCCCCTCCTCTCGGTCACGGGTCATCTTTAAGCGATTCCTTACTGCCGATTATGTTACTTAGTTGAGGATAGCTCAACTATTAATTGTCTAATAACAATGAAAGCTCGTATATACACAAAATATGAGCCAGTGAGCACGTTACGATTCTAATGACCTTCATTACCCCCTAAAAATATATCACTCACCGAACATAATGGACGATGCTTCGTATATAGTTTGTAGATATTTAATTTTTTTTCATATCTATAGCTAAAATGCCGACGTCACACCTATAAAGATTTGTGGGAACCTTAAAAACATATTCATTCATATGTAATCGGTTTGCTTTTAATAAACTCTCATTATTACTTAACAGATCAGTAATTTGAGATAAGTGTAAATTATAGTTGTGAGTGAGAGTTCCAATTAAAAATGAATTGCGTAAGAAGAGAATGACTCGAAAGTAATAAAAAGAAGAAAAATACAACAAAGCATAAAAAGAGTAAACAAAAAATTTTAAATAGAAAATATAATCTCTCCCGCCAATTAATGTTTGCTGAACCGTTACATAATGATGTCAAAGCAATTGGCAATTAAACAAAATGATCTAATCTCCCGAAAAAAATCTAAATTGAACAAAATCCATTAATAAGTAGCGAATGTTGTAAAATATATCTAATTTTGGCATTCGACTTGATTCAACAACAAAATTGCGTATCCGATTCAAATTTAGAAAATTATTTGGGCAAAAAAAACGTTGAGCTAAAGATAAAATTTTAAATGAAAAGTTTTCTGTCTACATACATATGTATTCAGAAATTTGTAGTAAAAATTAATAATATATTATTATTTGCTATAAAATTTTCTTTGAAAAATTAGCTTCCTCAAATTTCCTGCCTGTTGGTTTACTCTTGGTCACTTTCAAAATCAAACTTTCCAGACCACATTTTCAAGGCTTCACTAAGAGGTGTTTAATTTTGAGCTTAAATTTCCCACGAAAGTTTCTCTTCCTATAAACTGTTGATTGAAATATTCTTCTTCACTTTTTTCCCACGAAATTCAAATGGTGATTTATAAACGTCCAAATTGAATTCTCAAAATATTTGCAAACGAAACAGCTGCTGTTGGACGGAGTACGTGATATTTGAGGGAAATCTAATACGTACATACGTATGACCAGGAGGGACAGCCACAAAATAGTCGTAAATGGGGATGCTTGCCGTGTTGAAAAATAACGCTGACTGGTCTCCATTACATGAGCCGACCATCAGCTGTGATGTGTGCTAAGGATGTTTTGAAGCGCACACGCTGCTGGAACGACGCCACAGCTCGGTGTCGCCAATTCGCTTTGGCGCCCAAAAAAAAAAAGTGTAAAACCATACGTGACGCGCATGTGAATAGTAGATTTTCTGCCATCA